CGGGAAGGTGAGCATCATAGAATGCCAATTTACTAGAAGAAAGTATTCTTGTGTTGAGGGAGTACTTGAGTGGAGGCCCAATGTCCTTCTGCTGAAAGGTAACTCTTGTCTACCACCTAGCCAATGGCTTCCCCACCCTCCATTTCCCAACCTCTCGCCTTTTCATTACCGCTGAGCACATTAACCATCTGCGCCATCAACAGAGTCCAGGTATACCAGCTTAATTCTATTTCAGACTCACACAGCAGTCCTTTCCCGAAACCGCCAAGATTATGGGGGACTTTGGGATTGCAGAAAGAACGAGAAGATGTTGTGTGATGTAAAGAAAATCTAAAAGACAGATGACAATCATTTTGTCTCTGTCTTAAGAGGTTACAACAAGAGTGTCACAGACCTGAACTCACTATGTCTCAATCTGCTGCTTCTAGATAAAATGCCCCTAGCGTTCTGCTCTGTTGAAAGCTTTTGCTATATTGAAAAATAGTGCACTCCTCTCTGTGAGAGCTGGGTTTTATGTTAACTTAACCAGATTTGAATTCTCAATGGTTTGGCCGTTCAGATTTAGTCAGCCCCCATGAAGTGCTCTAACACACTGCAGTTACCTCCATCATGGGATCAGCCCATCCATTGTAAGAAGAAGAGGGTGAGATATAACACCTTTACTCAGACTGCAATCAATTCAAAGGATGTTTCCCAGAGGGTGTAGCCTGCTTCCTATGTAAACGGATGATGTGGAAAAGCTTGCTTGGCTTTTGCTGAGTCTAGATCTTGCATCTAGTTCAAGATAGACTAGAGCCAACAGTCTGCCACATTGCCTGCGGATTCTGGGTATCATCAGCAGCGGCCATCTGACTTGTCAACCTTGGACCCATTCACCTCTGCTGCTATGACTCTGTCATCTTCCTGCCGATCTTGGGTTCATTAGCCCCACAGGCAATTGAGTCAGGAGAAGCCGCCAGCCTCCACCCATGGACGTGGAACCTGGCTGGACTTGGACTTGTCTGTTGTTACACCCACGTTAGTCATTTTTCTTGAGATAATATTCTGTCTATATGTGTGTGTATGAATGTCACTGGCTTTGCTTCTCTAGAGAGCCCAGCCGAAGAGACTACCCTCGACTACAGCCCATGAAGAATGGGAGCTGATTCTAAGGTTATTGTCGGCTCTGAAACGACAATGCTGCAAACGAGAGGGAAAACAGAGGGCAGGGTTTTACTTTTAGAGCAGCCACAACTCTGTCTCTCTAGACATGCTTATCGCACCAGGCTTTGACGGCTCATGTTTTGTATCTGAAAATGTCTCTGTTTTAAGGACAGGGGAACTGTCCTGCATGATACTGTACTGCTGAACACATGGTTTTATGCCTTTTCTAACCCACAGGGTCATACAAAGAGTGAGTACTAATAGAAGCTAGGCCATTCGTATCAGTCCTCTGGACCAAGGAGAACAGACATGCCAAGCAAATGCATGATGCTAATAATATGAGGGGTGTGTGTGTGTGTGTGTGTGTGTGTGTGTGTGTGTGGTGGAGGGAGGGTGAGTGTGGGAAAGAAGTACTGAGAAACTTTTTATTCTTTCTGCATAATTTTATATGATCCTAAAATTTAAGTTCATTAAAAAAAAAATATATATATATATATACCAATGATTTTTATAGATTTGACCCATGCTTTGAGGGCTGGGGTCCAGAGCAGGCAGCAGCCCCCACACCAAGATGATGGAAATTTAGGTGCATGCAGGTTTCAGTGCCCTTAGACCCTAATGACATCATTTAAGTCTGCCTATGAGATAATAAAACACTTGATTCTATTGTTAAGGCACTAACCAGATTTTAATGGAGGCACATTTCATTTTAAGCAGTTGCTATTTTTTTCTTTTTTTAACATGAGTTTTACGAGTTAGGTTTGCTTCTCTGTAAAACTGAAGCTTTGCAGGGTCCCCTAAGCCTTTGAAAACAGGTCAAGTCAGGACAAATCACAAAAGTCAAATACCTTGTTAGTTGCTTTTGGGTCAATTCCATCTCCTGGCCTTCCCAGGTGTAAGCCCCCTACTCTTCCACTGCTTTTCTGCCCACTAAAAGCTGAGACTTAATCTCTTCCTTAATCTTGGCAAGGTGCCCACACTTATGGGAACCCCTTTTTAACAAATAACCGGAGAAGGTAGCTATGTGCGCCCTTGTATCCTGACCACAAAGTCAAAATCAACTTGGCAGCTATCTGGACAAGTGCTTTGGGTTAATGAAAATGGACAAGCAACGTGGACACATCGAGATTTCTCTCCTTAGAACCAAGGCTGGATGTGCCGTCTGTCTGTCTCTCAGAGCTTCCCTTTGCAGAGGAAAGCCCTGAAAACACCTCCATCGGGAACCTGGTGGCCTCTGTCAAGGCTGATGGATTTCATGCACATCTTGCTCTCTGACACACAGGCCACAAGGATGGAGCCAGACACGGAAGCCACAGTGGTTTTTACCTGGTGCTCAGCCATCTGGCTCTCGGGACTCTTGCCCGCCTCCATACTCTCGTTGAGCTTCATCTCCATGGCCTCCATGCTGGTGGAGATGGACTGCAGGGAGTCCTGGTACCTCTGCTGCCGTTCCAAGGCTTCGTAGAGGGTGCGCTGCTTCTCGCTGATCTAGACAAGAAAGGGGATATTACCTAATGCTTCCCAGCCTCCTATCTCCCCGATTACAACATGTTTCCTCACTGCCTCACCGCGGTGGCCCAACAAAGGGGACTCTGTGTAAACTCGGTGCCCCGATTTCATAAGAGGTGGCTGGCGGGGAGTGGGCTTAAAAAGCCACGGTGTGGAGACGTACCACATTTTTTAAGGTTTCCCAGGAACGCTGCAAGTCATCCAGCTTAGCGGTGGCGGACGACTCCAGGCCTGGCTCGTAGAAGTCCTGGGGGGAAGGGGTGCCGGGGTGAATCCTCAGTGCCTCGGTCTGCAACCTCTCAGCAGACCAAGCGTGGTGATAAGTACTGTCCTGTGAGGGCAGAGCACAGCGTGGCCTTCAAAGGGGGGGCGGGGTCAACCCTGGGAGGCACCTCACTGCTGTTTGTCAGGTAGAGGGGAGAGGTTTGGGGGGTGGGGGGACACTTGTAAAACTGGTAAATTCCTCTAAGGGGTCGAGCGGAAGTCTTGATTTGAAATCACAGTATCAAAAGCATACCATGACTGCTTTAGAATTCGGGTTGAGGGAAATGAACAGTTCCCCCACCCTCCCCGCTATTTCATGTTGCCCCAAAGTCATTAAGTTATCATACTAGAAATCCATGCAATGATGGGTTAAGTCGTCTAGTGCAAACTCAAAGCCAGTTGTCCCTGAACCAAGTTCAACACTGGGCGACGTACATATGTCAGAGTAGAACTGTGCCCTGTAAGGGTTGGGGGACTTATTTAGTTTTTCCTTCTTTTGAGATTTAGGAACTTAAGAATTTTGTTGTGACGTGGGTCACACTCTTGGAATTTGTGGGTCACCTTGCCCTCCTGTGCAGAATTGCCCCTCCCTCAGTAACACACGTTCGCTGCCCCCTGAGAGTCCGACCTAAGTTTTCTGTTGTCCATTAGACTCCATTGAGATCTAACCGACATTATGTAATCTCTCTTAAAAGAAAACCGTCTCCAGGGACTCTTTTGTACACCCACGCTAAACGACTGTTTGGTTTTAGGAAGCCTTTGGGGCATATATTTGATTCTTGGACAGGGTTTAAAATGACTGCTTTTCTGGAAGCCCCTTCTCTTGAGTGGCCTTGAACTGACCACCCTTTGGTTCATAGCCAATGGTGTTAACAGCTTGTTTCAACCAGGGATGCTGTTAGCAAACACCCAACAAGATTCTAATTCTCTGTATCCTAAAACAAGGGTTAACACGTTGATTTAAAGGTTCGAATCATTGTTAAGAGTATTTCCTGTAAACCAGATTAAATCCATGGGAAAGAACATTTTCTGGTGCATTTGGACTTTTGCCACTTGGAGTCCAGAGGCACAGAGATGCATTTCAATATTTACAACGTAACAGGAAGTTGAAACTCCTCTGAACTATCTAACATATGCAAATGATAAAAAAGGTGCCCTGCTGTCAGATTCCTGCAAGTACAGTTACTTCTAGTTACTTCTATTGCTTGTGTTTATCAAGGAATGTTACACATTTTATTGGTGCAAATCAAATTTACTGAATGAAGACCTATCATTCATGTATTTTCAATTGTTTAAATGGCTACTTCTCTTTACCTTAATAGCAGTTCAATTCGGGGTGGGGGTTAGTTATACATAATAGCTATTGTTACTATAAAGATCGTCTTGTTGTGCTGTGAGAGATAATGATGTAACAGTGCTCCAGATGGACTCCAACTTGTGTTTTGGTGGAAAGTGTCAAAAGAAGCACTAACCACAGAATATGGAGAGGGGGAGGGGAGGGGGAGGAGAGGGAGAGGAGAGGGGGAGGAGAGGGAGAGGAGAGGGGGAGGAGAGGGGGAGGAGAGGGTCCTCCGTGTAAAGTATTACCTAGGAAACCAGTGTCACAGCAGAAAGGGGCCTGGTCCACCCAGGTCTGCGATAATGTCCTGTCTATTAATCCTGGCATGGTGCTCCACTGCAGGCCTCCATAGACCTGACCACTCGGCCTGTTGTCAGGGAACTGATCCTCCCACCTGGATGTTTAGCTATTTCTAAGGTTACTTTAACCCCTCTGCTGCCAGCATCTCTGTTTTCTTTGTCCCTTTTAACCTTTGCTTCCTCAACCGAGGTTCACCCCGAGCTTACTTCCCAGAGTGGACTATACACACACATGAACAAACATACATATCATATATGTACATGTGTACAACTGTGCACACATGCATGAACACCCCCCACACACACACACACACAATCAAAGCCATTGGGGGTTATTCCTGTCACTCCTCAAATTTCCAAACATCCTGATATCCAGACACACCCTTATCTCATCAAGATAACCCTCCCACCTGCCCCAGAATCCCATTCATTTTGCTTCTAAAAAACCTCGGACCACTGGTAGTCCCTCCTTCCCCTCTCTATTCACTTCCTCCTTACCATATTTGTAGATCAACGTATTTTTCATTTGCATCCCCCACCACCAACACACACTCTTTTCTTATTACTTTTGAAGGACATCATATAGTGGATAAGTCTTAGAAAGCATTATAGCCTGAGAAACCCCCAGGGGCAGTTCTATCCTATCCTGTATGGTCGCTTTGGGTCGGACTCGCCCCGATGGCAGTGAGGACTTGGGTTTGACAGTCTTGAAGCAGCCTTGATTCTGGTTCTCATTGTCGCTCCAGCTTCCAAACCCACAGCTTGCACATTGGCAACCTCCAGGCTACCTCTAGCCTGCACAAGATTGCTCGGTTGAACACGGTATTTTAAATAGTTTACAATTCTCTTAACTGAGAGATTTCATTAAAATTCAGACATATTCTTACTCAAAAATCAGAAGCTTCAGTGGCCATGGAGGTATGTGAGGCTGCCTGCCTCTACCATGAACAGAGGCCAGGCCGTGGCTTGGATGAGCACCAGAGGCCTGTCCAGGCCTAACCTGTCTCACTCGTCTCCATCACCGGCATAGGTCAGCCTGAGGGTTGACAACCGCAGCCCTGTCTCCGATGTTCTAACCTCCACTCCTGGCTCACGTGGATCCCGCATGATCTCTTCTCAACCTCAGCTCTGAACGTGCCTGGTAGTTAAACTTCTTCCCTGGCTAACTCCTAGCTGCTGGATAAAGGGAAGCAATCCTGTGTCGTGGGCATAATAAGGGGCTGCATGGCGGCTGCCCTTACCTCTCCCCATCCCTCAACCTTCCTCAGGCCGCGACCCTTTCAGACAGTTCCTCGTGTGGTGGGGACCCCCAAGCATAAAATCATTTTCATTGCTACTTCATCACTGTCATTTTGTTACTGTGATGAATCGGGTGACCCCTGTGAATTTGACCCCCAAGTGGATCACAACCCACAGGGTGAGAACCCCCGCTCTACTGCAGTACGGGGGGGGGGGCCCTGCAGTTACCCAACACTACTAGAGGTAACTTTGGGGGTCTCTTTCTCCTCCTGCCTCCACACCCTCCCATTGGCAGTTTCTTCTCACACCGTGCCATCGTACGCCAGCTACTATGGTTCAACTCTGCGAATACTCAGGGTGCCATCACTGACCCCGTCTGATGTAGGTGCTTATGCTACCTAGGTCCTCCCAGGGCCCTCGCTGCCTCCCACCACTAGAACACAAACACCTGTCTGTTCTCACACAGGACTCTGAGCTCCTTGAAGTCAGAGACCGGGCCTTTATTTCTGAGTCATCTACGAGTGGCTCACGCCAAGCGGGCAGGTGAAAGTGCTCCCAGTGAACAGTACCTGTGAACACATTTTTGTAAACTCTCATACTGTCTGTGCAGAGGGATACTAGTGCAACCCATGGGGAACACAGAAAGTTACTTCCCACGGTATATAAAGTATAAGTAAAATAACTTATATTCCAATATAAATGGAGGCAATCTCTGAAAGAAGTGGACACAAATTAATTTGTTGGGAAATGTTTTTTCATTAGTAAAATTTAAATCAATTTACAATATGGTTGCTTTATGCATGTGTACATGTGGGAATCCTGTGTGTGTGCGCGCAGGGGTATGCGTGTGTGTCTGAGTGCGCACGTGAGTCTCCTGCTTATGACAGCAGAATGACAGCACCTGACTTCTCACAAAGATCTGACGATAGACCCGATTCTTGTGAACAAACGGTTTGCATGTCCTCGAGGACTCGATCTCCATCTTCAGTGCACCACGTACAAGTCACTAACACAGGGCCTGACGCCATGACTGTTGGGTAACTTGGGAAGTCAACTGCAAGGTCAGCAGTTCAAACCTTAGGGGACAGATGAGCCTGTCCCTTCCCACAAAGATTTACAGATTGGGAACCTTATCTTGGGTCACTCTGGGTCGGGATGGACTCGGTGGCAGCGGGTCTGGCTTCGGGGGTTTTGTATAACTATTTCAGTAGAGGCCGTGTTGGACAGCAGGAGTGGAGGACCGTTAGTCTCCCCTGGGTGATGGAGCTCCATGCAGAGCGGATGTACCCAGACTAGTCCTGAGAAATGCATTTGGGAAATGAGAAGCTAGGGCTTGATGGGCATTTCCCAGTCTAGCGAGTACTTGGTCCATTCACTGCATGTTTCCGTCTCACAGCTTCGTGAATTGAGAAGCATTGTTTCCTCTTTACAAATGAGCAACCCAGGGACTTCCCAGGGGAACTCGGCTGATAAAGTGGAGGGGTGGTGCTCAACCTCCCCATCAGGTCATAGCCTGATGGTGGTACCTCCTTGTGGGCGTGGCCTTCTCATAAGGAGAGGGAACCTCTCTTAGCCCTCACCTTCCTGCTGGGGACCCGCTCTGAGAGCTGCCAGAGCGCGACCCTTGGATCCACAGGACTCTGCTCTCCCCCCGGCTGTGCCCTCCCTGCATTCTGCATCATTGCGTGTGGTTGCGTGAGTCTGAATATGGACTAGTATTGGACATATGGACTCGAGTTGGACTGGGCTGTGATGTTTTCTTGATATAGAACTACTTTTGATACAAAGCTCTTTCTGACCCAGGTATGAGTATCACTGGATGTATTTCTCTAGTCAACCTGGCCTCGCACATCTGCTTAGAAGGGGAAGCCGGAGGTTGATTTGCTCCCCAAAGGCCTACTCTTTCCGGCCCTCTCACCCTGCAAGGAGTCCAAGTCATGGCCTTTCTCAAAGGGGACCCAGAAGGCTGCAGCAAGTCCTGGAGGTGCCTCCTTCTCTCCATGCCCAAGGACTCAGAACTGGCCGTGATGGACAGAGGGAGGGTGACTGGGGAAAGCAGGGCCTATGGGTTATGCGACACAGCTCTCCCACCCAGACAGCAAACACAAACCTCTCGGAGCAGCTGCGATTTTCAAAAACAACTATATTTGGCTGCTCCTGAAACAGCACAGCCCAGCTGGGCACACACTGTGCAGAACTGGGGGTCTGAAAACTGGATGGAATGAATCTAAGGAGAGTCAACATCCCCGCCTCAGAATTTCCACAGAAAATTCTGTAAATCCAATGCATTACTAGCCCTATCAGACTGTGGTTTTTATTTTTTATATTATTGTTATTTTTAATTGTTTTATTGGGGCCTCATACAACTCTTATCACAATCCATACATACATCAATTGTGTAAAGCACATTTGTATATTCATTGCCCTCATCATTCTCAAAACATTTCCTCTCCACTTAAGCCCCTGGCATCAGCTCCTCATTTTCCCTTCCCTCCCTGCTCTCCCCTCCCTCGCGAACCCTTGATAATTTATAAATTATTATTTTGTCATATCTTGCCCTGTCTGAAGTCTCCCTTCACCCACTTTTCTGTTGTCCGTCCCCCAGGGAGGAGGTCACATGTAGATCCTTGTAATCAGTTCCTCCTTTCCAACCCACCCTCCCTCTACCCTCCCAGTATCACCACTCACACTGCTGGTCCTAAAGGGGTCATCTGCCCTGGATTCCCTGTGTTTCCAGTTCCTGTCTGTACCAGTGTCCATCCTCTGGTCTATCCAGACTTGCAAGGTAGAATTGGGATCATGATAGTGGGGGATGAGGGAGGAAGCATTCAGGAACTAGAGGAAAGTTGTATACTTCATCGTTGCTACATGGCACCCTGACTGGCTCATCTCCCCAAAACCCATCTGTAAGGGGATCTTTCCTCCCTCCCCAATATGACTGCATGAGAATCACTTATCGCTGCCATGAGTCTGACTTAGCTAAACAAAACCAAATAGTGTGCTTCCTTTCTGACATCTTCTAACTTAAGTCACCCGCTTTAAACAACATAAAGACACATTTCACAAATATGTTAGGTGAGATGTAAGTATATGACTTCATCAATGTTAGCCTGTGTGGATTTCAGAAGTCTACAGGTGACAGTGGAAGCCCCAAATCCATTTTCAGGCTCCTCACACAGGTTAAGTCCAGGGTGAATGGCCTCTGACCATAGTTGAGGGATGTGAATAGTCTTAAGATGTGTTATCAGACAGAGATCACTGTCAAGTTGACATGGCTGACTCTGCGGTGACGTTAACATGTAACACCCTATCATTTGATCTCCCCTTTGACTCTTTTAAAGTTGTTGCATTTTAAAAGTATTTTCTGCTTCCTCTCTGAGTGAGGGTTTTCTGTGTTTTACCTAGTCCTTGTTGTGGGGTTTTTCTCTGGTTTGCTTGTTTTGTACGATTCTCTACTACATATGAACTACAGAACAGGCAGATTGATAGAGAGAGTAACCAGAATGGGGGCATGGCAGGGAGGATGGGGGAAATGGTGAGCCAACAACACACGCATGAGAAGAAAATATTCTGAAGTTGATTGTGGTGGTGATGAACAAAGTTTCTTAATATGATTGAATGATCAAATTGTTCGATATGTGACATGTACGCCAATTGAACATTTGTTTTTTTATTCAAATGCCAGTCTTTGAATGAATGGGGAGGGGTTGTCAAAAATAAAATAAAAACAAAGCACATGCTCACTCATAATTCTAGCATCTGATGATGCTTCCCAGCTAGAATAACCAGAGCAGAAATTTTGTCTGCATGCCTTATTATGAGTCACGTGCACAGGAGCTCTGGTGATGCCGTGGTTACGCAGTAGGCTTCTAACTGCAAGGTCAGCAGTTTGAAGCCACCAGCCGCTCTGTGGGAGAAAGATGAGGCTTTCTACTTCGGTAGAAACGTAGAGTCTCAGAAACTCCCAGGGGCAGTCCTGTGCGTCGGGATCCACTCCACTGCAGTGAGTGAAGTGGTATCCCATGTACACAGAGAGACAAGGTGAGCGCCCACACTCCTAGGAAGGGCAAATGCATTCCAATCAGGGGCCTCAAGGTCAGGATTGATAACCCCACTTGAAAGTCTTAGGAAAATTGAGCACCGTATCCAGGCTACACTACAATTTCAAACAGCTGGCTAGAGCTAAATTCCTTTAATAACATCTGTGACCAGAGGGAAGAACACAGTGCCCAAGAACAAAGTAATATATATGTAATACATATTTTGAAGTTCAGATTCTGAAAAAAACATTTCTCCAATGCCCCTGAGTTCCCTGAACTTCTCTTTTTTAAGGAAAAAAAATTTTTTTTCTCTCATTGCTTTTTTGATGACTCATTCCATGGCTTCCTTTCCCTCTAGACTCCACGGGTCATTACTGCTGGGGCCACTGTTGCCTGGTTCTCCCCAGCATCCCCTGCCCCCAGCACAATGCTTTGCATCAAGCAGATGTGCAGTATGTGCGTGATGGATGCAGGAAGCAGTAACTTCCTGAAAGCTATGCAGGCCTTTTGTTTTGCTTTGTGTCTTTGTGGGTTTTTTTTTTGTTGTTTTTAATCAAAAGAGAACTGCTTTACCTATATGTTTCACCAATTTTATTTTCCTTTTCCTTTTGTCTACTTTGGCTTCCTCGTGATCACAGAAATGTTAATGCATCTGCCCTAAAAATGAGAAGAATCATAGGATAGAAGCTTTTTGTGGCCTAGAGTGAACATCTGCCTACGCGAATGCGTCTTCCAGGTTCGTGCATCTCAATTTCTCTGGACTCCTGTTATTTTTACCATAATGCTGTTTTTAAAAGGATATTCAGTTGCTCTGAGTTTTGAGAAAACATTAGTTAACCTGAATTTTTGAAGTTGGGGTTGAGGGATAAAGGTTATTGTGAAAGCATCATTTTAAGATTCCTATGCAATACATTTCACCAAACATTGGTTAGATGGCTGAATAACCTAAATTCCACAGAAGCAAAATCATCTATATTTAACATAAGCAAAAAAAAAAAGTGCCTCATAGCACCAAGCATGATCCCCGTTGTATAGGAAATGATATCTGAAGTTGGTGAAAGGTACGTGGGAAGTCTCACAGCCCCTAAGGCCCCTGGGATAATAAACAGCCAGCCATCCCTTAGATCGGTTCACGAGGGGTAAATAACGACAACGCGTGATAGCGAATTTTCCGTCTTCGCAAGAGGAGCTGTGTTAAGCATCAAAAAATGTTGACGTCATAGTGGATCGTGGCGCCTTTCTGCGAGGGTGCGGGACTCCAAGACGGAGCACTGCTAGCTACGCAGCACTGCTACTCAGCCCCTGCTGCGGGCCCTGTGCCCATGGCTTAATGTTTTTGCTCAAGGAGCCCTGCTGGCGCAGTGGTTGAAGTGCTCAATTGCCAACCCAGAGGTCAGCACTGGCAGCAGCCGCTCCATAAGGGAAAGGTGAGGGCGTCTGCTCGGTAAAGATATCTCAACCCCCCACCATTCTGGCTCACAGCTATCATACGGGACACCGTGGAATTGCCCCTGGGGCTTCGGCCTCTAAATCTCTAGGGCAGCAGAAAACCTCATCTTCTGCCTGAGGAGCGGCTGGTGGTTTTCAACAGCTGACCTTGTGATGAGCAGCCCGGCATAAAACTCACTACGCCACCAGGGTTCAGTTCCACTGTGTCCCGTTGGGTTGCCGTGCGTCAGCATCAACTTGGTGACAACAGGTTTGGCAATTGTAGTCTGTGTCCCCTGGAACCTGATGCTCCTGAGCCTAAGCTTCCCACCCACCTGCTAACCAGGCAGGAGATGGAGTCCTGCACCCTGCAGAGAGAACAGCCAGGGGGAGGGGAGGGGCCAAGGGGGAGACACATGCCAAGGAGGAGGTACCTGGTTAACAGAAGCATCTATATTAGCCACAGGTGAAGGGGAGCGACAGGCAGGTGGAGAGGACATCTCACTGTTGGTTCCCTCCTCCCCAGACTCCTCAGTCACAGGTGACAGCAAAGTGTGACAGCGACCTGCAGTCATCTGCCACATACAATGTAAGTCCAAAGGACAGGAAAATCGGTTAGCAATGTCGACAAAAGACCCGGGCAGGCACACGTGAACACAGAGCTCGTCATGATCACAGAGCTGAGGGTGGCTGCGACCCCACTTTGGCGTACAGATTTCCTGTGAGCATGTCCTGTCCTGGGTTCTGTCCTCAAATGAATCTGATGTCAATGACCACTTGTGAGGCACACAGGGGAGAGGCACGTATGACGTGCCACGGTTGTGCTGTGGATTGCACGATTCTCCTGCACATTTTCTTCTTGTGTGTGTCTATAAATAACGCCAAAGGGTCTAAGGAATGAAACTCGGTCTTTTGTGGACATCTCCATTTCCCTATTCTAGGGAAATAAACGCACCCCAAATAACAAAATGCCAGTATGCTTGCAGATGAGGGAGCCCCCAAAAGTCCATGGAAAAGCGATCTTTTGGTACCATTTTTCCAGAAACTTGTGAAAGCCCCCAGGTGGGACCTGAGGCACAGCATATATATGCAAAATAAATGGTGCTGGCAAAACACTGTAGTTCCCAAAATAATCAATGCATTTCCCATGCAAAGTGCATGTAGGCATCATGATGCAGGTGGGGGAAGTACTAGGAGAACATATCTATTTTCATCCAAAACAGAGCATTGTTTTTCTTCTCGTAATAGCTTTTCTTCTAAATGTTATTACACTCTCATCCAGCAACACGCATCTACACACCTAGTTCCCTGCTGTCTCTGCCTGGAAATCACAAATAAATCAGGATTCTCCCATCCCCCAGAAAACTAGGAAAACGTGCAAAGGGCTGGCGTCATTGTTGCTGTTTGTAAAGCTTAGAGCTTCCGAGAATTATTGCCAACACACACACACACACACACACACACACACACACACACACACACACACGTGCAGCCCTTTGACAGGTTAAGTGATTCAGCCCTTGCAAGCAAATCACTCTATTTCCACCGCCACTGTTTACAGAGGGGAAGATTGGCCTGGGCCCAAATGCTGTCAAAGAGAGTTCGTGGGAAACTGTCACTCAGTCAGAATCTGCAACGTCCAAGGCTAATCCCTAAACCAACCAAGGAGAGGAGGGCAGGAGGCAGACACCAGCGTGCAGCCGGGCTGGACTGATCCTTACCATGACGACTGAGGGGTGGGAGGAAGGTGTGGGGAGGAGCTCCCCATCAAGGTCCTCTGTCCCTTCGGCCAGCCCTTCCACCTCGGTCACCGTCAGCAGCATCGTGGCGTGCTTGGCTTTCATCGTCAGCATCTTGCACTTGGAATTCAGGGAGGCGATCTGTTCTTGGTAGCCCTTGATTTTCTGAGCCAGCTCCTGTGGAAACACATCCCCCCCACGCCACGGCCCCAGAGTGTCAGAGCAGCATCAAAAGGAAACAGAACTAGTAGCATTCATCTCCTCTGCCGACAAGCTCCGGGGCCAGCCAATGAAATTGCAAGGCAGTGCCAGGCAGCAGCTGCGAGAGGCAGGATGTGGCCAGGGGAGGCGAGCAAGTCAGACTGCATCACCCAGCAGCGAGCCAGACCACAGCACTTACGGCTGGGCTACAGGACAGGAGGCGCTGTGTGTGCCAAGCCCCGGAGCAAAGGCACGGGGAGCTCCCGGGGTGGGGGGGCGAACCGGTTCTTTGCCTGGGGCCTGGGCGAAGACTCTTGCGCTTACTTCCCATGGAGAACGGGCCCCTCTCTTTAAAATGCCCAAAGAATGTGAAATTTACCAAATGGTTCATGCCAGGGAAATGAGGTCACGTGATGAAGGAAAGAACGAAAATGCAGAGCTCAGCTCGCAGGAGCCTGAGCCCAGTCCTTTCTTGTAGACACGGGGCCACAGAGTATAAACCGCTGGCACCATCCCGAGACCGTCGGCAGTGGAAGCTGCTGCTGCCGTTGTTGTTGTGTTTGGTGTGTTTATTTCTTCACACACACACACACACCCGCCCCCCCCTAGTGCATAAAACCAAAACTCAAACCCACGTCCTCAAACATATTTTTGAAGACAGAGTAGAACGACGCCCCCTAGGGCTCCCAAGACTGTCTGCCATCTCTATGCCGGCCGACCATCACAGCTCCTCAAACAGTCCACAGGACACCTCCATTTCTATCCTGATTTGCCCCAGTAGAATCCTTACATCCACCCTAGTCTTGCTTACATACTCCATCCACGTCCCAATTCTTTCTGATAGTTTACAAACAGAGCCTTCCACTGGATGCTGTATTTTTTTAAAAAGTAATATGTATTTTTAAAATAGTAATATGTATTTTAAAAAGTAATATGTATTTTCTCTGTAACCTGATGAATTTTGTAATGAATTCTGGATCTTCTGAAATGGGATGAAAAATAACGTTCAAATCCATATGTAATCCGGAGTCAAACGGAGGAGTTTTATACACATGGTTCCAAACTTCACATATCTTTTCCTTCAAGTGATGGCGTGAGAGAAATAAATCATTAATATAGATGATCCGTTAGGCGGAAGTGTAGGCATAGCACTTGTTTAAGTTATTTTGTAAATTTTTACCCGCAAAGGTAAGCAATTGATGCGTTGGCTGTGTCCAGAAAGGTAGAAGGTGCGTTTAGAGGGGGGGGTGCAGGGAGATGTTCACCTGTCAGAGGCAAACCTCGGATCTCCTGAGAACCCCATTATACTATCTGTTTGGAAGAAAGGGTGTTGCTCTTAGGATAAAGTTGAGACGGAGCAGTTTAAAAGATAAGGAAAACCTCCCACGCTGAAATAAGTCTTCCTAGAACTGGTGGTGCGGCAGTTCATCACTCAACTATGTTGGCTAGCGAAACTGCTCATTAAAGCTGTTGTCATCTCAGCCTCTTTGCCGCTAAGGAGCATCCTGGCTGGACTTCTCCCCAGACAGATGTGCTGGTTCCTCCGGCAGACCACGGGGCGTTCAAGAGTCTTCTCAGCCCCATCCTTCAAATGCATGGATTCTTCTATGGTCTTCCGTCCTTATTCAAGGTCTAAGTTTCGCATGCATATGAGGTGACTGAAAATACCAATGGCTTGGGTCAGGCACACTTTAGTCCTTATAGTAGCATCCTTGCTTCTCAACACTCTAAAGAGGTCTGGTGCAGCAGATTGACCCAAGGCAATAAAAAGTTCAGTGGCCCCAGCTCCCCCAGCAGCTCCCCAAGAGAACACTCTGGCCATCTGCTCCTGTGAAGACCGCAGCCGAGCAAATCCTCCGGGGCCCATTCCACTCTCTCCTCTGGGGTTTTGCTATGGGTCAGCATGGACTGGACGGCACATCCCAACTACCACCCTGGTCACTCACCATAATCCACGATGCTATGAACCCACGCCCAACGTAAGAGCGGTTTCCACAGGAGCTGACAGGTCAAGAAAGAAAATAAGCGGCAAGGTATCCATGAGCTGACACGCTCCAAATCCATCTGAGGCTTGCTTGCCTGAGGAAGATTTGCCAAGCCCTAGTGGCATGGTGGTGAGGAGTGGGTCCGCTCACCACAAGATCAGCAGTTCAAAACCACAAGTCACTCTGCCAGAGAAAGAGGATGCTTCTTATTCCCTTGGAACATTCTATTCCCTTGGACATTTTTGGAACCCACAGGGACTGTTATACCCTGTTCTGACAGGGTTGCTGTGACTCAGTGCATTGGAATGAACCCGAAGGCGGTGAGGGTGCACTTTTGAAAGGAACAAGGAAGAGGCACATTTGAAAATGGAGGATTTGCTACTGGGCCCAATCTGGGAATCAGCCAGATAAACAACCCGGATGATCCTCTGATTTCAGTGGAAGGAGCTGAAGTGATGGGCAATCTTTGAGAGCGTCGAGGACGTTCATTCTTTTTAAAGAGGGCAACCGATACCGCTAGACTTTGTGCACAGCACGTCCTTGGGCTTCCACCCTTGGGAGGATGCCATTCACCGTGGCAACCCTGGGTGCAGAAGGGAGTCAGTGGGTTCTGGCTGAGAGATGTCCGTAGTAAAGAGGTTTCAGATTGAAGGGGGCGACTCACATTACTGTGTCTTGAGATAACAGCCCTGAAAATGCCAAGTCAGCTCAAGAGAAGACATGCGCACACTCTGGGAGCACCAAGGAAAGCCCTTCCCAAGCAGTCAGCCGTTGTCACCAGCCAGCTCCTGTCCTGAGCACTCTGCCCCAAACCTGGTCTTACCTCATGCCGGGAAATCTGGGCTTGCAGCTCCTGGATGTTGCTGGTGGCTATGGGAGTGTCCCCGATCTCCCGGTGAGCGCCTTCAATGAGTTGCTGAAGATGTTTCATTTCTTGCTCATATTGTTCATACTGCACCACAGCCTCCTGTGTAAAGAACAGCAGTCAACATGGGGTTTCCCGTTTGTCTCCCTAACTGTGTGTGTGTTTATTCCCCGTGCTGCCTGTCGGGGAATAAACCACAAATGGGCACAACCTCTGCCTGGTTCTCATCCTCAATGGGGACATCTGAGGACCCACTCCCTAAAACAGTTTACCAAAATTACTGATGAAATCAGAATCGGTAAGGGGTTAGAGCCCATAGTCTCCTCGCTGATTGTGCTGGCCTGGAGATGGCCATGGGATGGTCAACGGGTTGGGAGCAGCCTGAAAACACCATCAATCCACTTGTCCGTTTCAGAAAGCACTCCATCTATATGTAGGGCACTCAGCTGAGAGCCACAGTGGGGGGATGAAGAAAATGAATTAGACATGGCTTCTAGTGATAAGAAATCAACAGATTCTTACAAGATGTGAGGGTTATGGATTATGTCCACTGGGCACTCCTGCCTAGGGGTGGGGTCAAAACTGTCAATCAAGTGGAAGCTAGATGACTCCTCCTTGGGGTGTGGCCTTTTGTATAAGAGCAAGACCAAGCAGAGATGAATCCTCTTTGCCCCTTAGCCTTTCTGCTTGCTGGGATTCTGTGTCTGCCTCTAAGGGCAGCCTCACATGGGCCACTCCACCCTGAGAGCTACGGGAGCCCCCCTACCACGTTTCCACCGACCTTGATCCACGCAATTTGACACTCACCAGCCTGTGATTTCTCTGCTTCCTGCTTCACCTCTCTGTGTGGTCAGCCTGCAGCTTAACTACCTGTGTCTGAAGAGGGTCCGGCTAGTCTGGGACCTATGGACTTGGGTTGGGCTGGGACACCCTCTTGATGTAAAGTTGTTTCTTGATATAAATTTCGCCCTTGAACATCGATGGGTATCACTGCTTTGTTTCTCTGGACAACCCAGCCTGATGCACAAGATATTGCTCAAAGCAAAGGAGTTCACCAAAGTGGCTATTAGCAATTTAAAATGTAGAACTCAAACTTACTGCTAGCGGCCTTCAAGGATAGAGTCGAACTATCCTTGTGAGTTTACAAATTGTAATTTTTTTCTTTTTATGAGAGTAGTAAACCTCATCTTTCTCCCTTAGATCAGATGGTGGTTTCGAACTGCTGACCGTATGGTTACCAGCCCAAGGAATAGCCTACTAGCCACCAGAGCTCCTACGAGCACTTCATGAGAGGCTACTAATTGCATGCTTAAATAAAGAAGGTAAAGATCAGTCTAAAGGAAATATGAAGTACGTTATGCAATTTCCTTGTTTCAAATGAGTTTTCCTTCTTAGATCAAATGACAGAGAGTCATGCTCTGTGGGCATTGCATTTAGTGCCCCAGAAACTTAAATATGTAGAGCATTCTGCGATACACAGTAACATGAAACTCCTATTTCAGGGTTCTGGATGCTTCTTGGAATTATGAAGAAGAAGAGATAAAAATACGGGATTGTATATAAAATTACCCTCTTTAAATTGCTCTTTGCAAAAGATATCACTAAGAGATCGCTTTCAGCCAAGGATATTTTTAATCGAGCTTTCCCCCCCGGCATTGGTGGGTGTTCCAAATGACAGCATTTGCATCTCCTTCATTTATATAACCACAACAGTCGGTCAAAGTTAACGCTGTGAATGTGTTTTGATGGGTGAGCCCACACAATGCTAATAAAAGAAGCCATGCGTGACTCATCGGGTCTTGCTCTGCCGGGAGGGGAGGGTCTCAGCCGCCCCTGGGGCACAGCTGCACCTGCCTGCATGATGGTGCATTGCTGGATGGCCGTGTGCTGCAGCCGGCTGGCCTCGTTCTGCAGGCGCAGAGCCGCGTGGCAGAGTGGCAGGCTGGTGACCGCGTCCTCGGGAATCCTCAGCGCGCTCTGGCACATCTGCACAGCGTGGACCTTCGGTTTCAGTGACTCCATCTCCAACAGCAAACGCTGAAAGCGGGTGGGCCAAGGCCCAACAATGGCAGGTTTCAGTGTCCGTATGGACAGCAGGTAAGATTAGGTAGGCAGTTTATTGGTTGTACATTTATAATCGTGTATGTCAAAGACTTACTCAGGGGCAGCCCAGTCATAAAACCTGTTACCAGCCAGTCAATTCAGACTCAGAGTCATGCATGGCATCCATGCCTGCAGAGCTGAGCAGTACTCCTTGGGGTTTTTAAGGCCTTGACCTTACAGAAGCAGATTGCCAGATCATTTCTCTGGGTGCCTTTCAGTGGGGTTCTAATTGGTGGCCTTTGGGTGAGTAGGTGATGTAGTTAGAGTGTATGTGAACTTAGTGGTACTTGTGTGTTCGCAGGGGTATAGTCCAACCTGTCAATCAGATCGTAGCCTAGTGATGCGCCTTAGGGGGTGTGGCCTTTTTGTAAGAAAGATAGTGGGGATTTCTGGTTGCCCTTTGAGTGCCTCCTCGCTTTGATTCTGTGTCTGCCTCTGGCGATGCCCCAATGTGGGGTCACTGACCCCGGGAGCTGGCAGCACCCTGTCACACTCCCACTGACCTTAGATGCAGAGGACTCTACACCCACCAGCCTGGGTCTCCCTGCTTCCCCTTCCTCTCTCGGCATCATCAGCCTGCAGCCACGAGAGCCCACACAGGGCTCAGCTGAAGGCTCTGGCTCACCTCAAACCCATGAAATTACATTGGACTAGGCTGGGGCACCTGCTTGATATAAAATTATGACTTGGTATAAACATCTTTCTTATCCATCTATGAGTGTCCCTGGCTTTGTTTCTCCAGACAACCCGGTCTAACACAGTAAGCAAACACTTGACCCCAGGGAGGCCTGCAGCTACGGAACCAGTTAGACGTACTTTGCAAGAAATACTTGGTTGCAATAAGAGTTAGGGTTCACGTGCTGAGTTGCTAACTGGGAACTCATTGATTTGAGCCTATCAGCCCCCTCTCCACAGCACAAAAGCAGGGCTGTCTGCTTCCTGAAAGATTCAGGGCTTTGGACACCCCACGGAGCAGTTCTAACTCTGTCCCACAGGGTCATGCTGACCAGCAATTGAAAAACCACCCGTCGGATTGAGTTTTAGGGAAGACGGCAAGAGAAGTTAGAATGGTTTTACACCCATTTCCCCAAATGCTTGTTACTTACCTGTCGATGAGCGAGCTGCTCCTTGAGACTGAGGCGCCCAACTTCCGGGGAAGCCAGGGTTGTCTGGGCTTGCTCCACAGCAGCCTGCAAGGTTTTCAGCTCCCCTTCAAATCTTTTCATATCCTGGGGAGTGGGAGCAGCATGTGAGAAGCTAAGAGTGAAGGCTGACGTCCTAGATTGTACCTTCACGGCCAAGAAGCCACCTCATAGGTGAGTGGTGTATCTCCCTGTGGCATGGCCATTTTGTTAATGGAGTGTGTGTGTGTGTGTGTGTGTGTGTGTAATGGTCTATTGCTGTTTGCTGCCACCAACTCAGCCCCCAGCTCATGGAGGGACAGCTGTGTCATGCTGAGACTAGACCTCTGTAATCCATAAGATTTCTATTGGCTGTGTTGTTTGTTTGTTTTTATTTTTCTCCAAGAGCCCTGGTGGTGGAGTGCTTATGTATTAGGCTGCTAACCACAAGGTGATTAGTTTGAAGCCACCAGCTACTCCATGGGAGAAAGAAGAGAGTGTCAACTTTTGTGAAGCGTTAAAGCCTCAGAAACTCACAGGGGAAGCTCTACCCTGCCTTATAGGGTCCTTTTAATTCGGCATTGACTTGATGGCATGGAGTTTAGTTTTTTGAAGTAGATTGCCAGACCTTTGTCCCTAGCATCTCTTAATAGGGACAAAACAAAAACACCAAACTTACTGGCATCAAGTCTATTCCGACTCATAGTGACCCTATAGGACACAGATTTATGGGAGTTAAAAGCCTCATCTTTCAACCACGTATCTGTGAGTGGTTTCAAACTGCCAGCCCTACAGGTAACAGCCCAACACACAAGCACTATGCCATCAGGGCTCCTCTTAATAAGGAAGCTCCCTTGAAACTCACTCAGCATCACAACGCAAGCCTCCTCTGGCAAACAAGTGGTGGCTGCCCTGCAGTTTGGCCAGGACCCAAGCCTGAGTCTATGGCATGGAAGGCAGTAATCCTACCATGGAAACATCACTGCCTGTATGCATATAAATGCATGTGTATGTGTACATGTAGATGTATAAGCATATTCAGCCACTGCCATTGAATCAATTCCCACTCATAGGGACAGAGCAGATCTGCTTCTTTGGGTTTACAAGACTATAGACCTTTACAGAAATGGAGAGCCTCATTTTCTCCCATAGAGAGGCTGGTAGGTATCAAACTGTTGATCTTGTGGGTAGCAGAAAGATGGGTAACCCACTATGCCATTAGGGCTCTTTATGAACACACACACACATACACACACACACACACACATATACACATACCTTGGCAGCATCTTGGAGATTCTGCAAACGGATTTTGATCATCTGTTGCAACTCCTCCGTCTCCCGTCCCAAACCTGCCACTTGCTGGGACATTTTTTCCGTATAGTACACACTAGTAAGGTGCTGCAGCTTCTCTGCCATTGCCTCCAGATCGCTGTGAATTTCTTCAGATTCTTCTAGCAGGGTCTACAGTGAATTGTCAACAAAAATGGGCAGTGAGGTCAGAACCCCAGAGAGGTCAGCGAGATCGGCCTAATCCATCAGGTGCGAAGTAAAGCAACCAGATGGGGTGTGAGTAGGGTGTAGCTCAACCGCCCACACTCCTGCCCCTGCCCCTGCAGGCAGCCACCTACGTTGTTTCCATTTTACAGCCAAGTAATCAAGGCTCAGCCACTGTAAACAATTTGCTGTTTCCCACCCCATCAGATCTCCAAGCCTTCCTTGATTTTTCAATATTTAAACCATTTCAGCTAGCAGGTTCCCTTTCCGGCACTCACATTCTCTAGCTGCAATCTACATGTGTATCCCCTATGGAAAAACAGCCAGACAAGAGCAGTACAGACAACCTTGGATCACTAGTTTTAAGGGAGACAAAAGGGTAGAAACTGACCAGGGCACCAAAGGGTCTGAAACACAACCGTCTGCATTCAGGGTGGAGTGGTCTATGGCTTGGGGGGCGGGGTAATGCAAACACAAATGGATGAAGAACCATAGGAGAAGCCTGGTGTGAAAAGTAGAGACAAAGAGACTCCAAGTCTCAGGGGACTGCAGAAGTGAGATTCGCCTCAGTGTGCTGGAAGGCTTCCAGAGGGGTTATATTTGAGTTCAGACGACAGGGTGTTTGCCTTGTTATAGATGGAGAGGAAGAAGAAAGGCATTTCATGCTGAGGGAACAGCATAAGCAAAGGCACAGAGGTAGGTGAGCACAGTGACTGGTGTGTGTGACACGCAAGGAGGAGACGTGGGAACAGGACTTCAGTCACTGCCAGTAGACCCTACTGGACACCTAAATAAAACACAAATGCATACACAGAAAGAAATAAAATAAAGGCATGCATTTTCCCCCTCCACAATGAATACGATGCATAGATGTTATAGAGCACTTATAAAATATAGAAAAATAGAAGAAAATAAAAGTCTTTAATCTTATAACTCAGAGACAATGTCACATAAGAAATGACTGTCGTCATGTTCCAATGTATTTTTAGGTACTTGAGAGCCTTACATGACTACCATTCTCCATCTTTCTTTTTCATTTTACACTGCAGGACTTCCTCAATGTCTGTTCTCTTTGGACAAATAACCACCTGGACTTCCTCAGGATGGCATGTGAATTCCCAAAACACAGACCACAACCTGGGTTCTCTCCTAGGCACCTGTGCTAGAAAAATCATCACCACTTCAGATCTCTTCTCCACAATCCATGAGACAGCTGTGTTAGTCCGGGTTGACTAGAGAACGAAATTCATAGACACTCATGTATCTAAGAAAGAGCTTTATATAAAGAGTACTTGTATATTAAGAAAAGCTACCAGCCCAATCCAGATCAAGTCCATAATCTGCTATTAGCCCATGTGTCCAGTACCAGTTTATAAATTCCTCTTCTGACTCATGCAACACATGCAATGACAATGAATACAGGAAGATCACAGGCCAGTGGGGGGAAATCTGTGGAAGCAATGGGGGTGGAAGCATTTCAATGCTGGCATGGGTCTCCATGTAGCTCCTCCAGCTCAGGGCTTTGGCTCTGTCAGCATAGCTCCATGTGGCTTGTCAACAGGAATGTGTCGCAGAGAGTGGGTGTATCTGGCCTCCAGCGAGCTCTTTATCTCCATTGCCTCTCCAAATGAGGTCATCCAGCTGCGACCTGATTGACAGGTTAAACTCTACCCCTTGACTCTTAACAGTATCAAATTGACTGGATTATGTAACTACCTCAACAGTTAAGCCCTCCACACCCAAGTCATAAACCTGGGGGTCTCCAGACTCCTCCGACTCTTTGTTAGTGTCATGATGTTGACTCAAAGTGACCTCACGTACATCCTTGTGCGGTCCTCACGATTGTCCTTACCTTTGGGCCACTGTGTCAATCCATCTCATTGAGGGCTTGCCTCTTCTTCATCACCCCTCTACTTCACCGAGCATGATGCCCTTCTCCAGGAACTGGTCTCTCCTGATAACTACGCAAAGCGTCGAAGATGAAGTCTCGCCATGCACACCTTTAAGAGGCATTCGGGTTCTATGTCTTCCAGGACAGATTGGTTTGTTCCTCTGGTAGTCCGTGCTACTTTCGATAGTCTTCTCCAGCACCATAATTCAAATGCATCAATTCTTCTCTCATCTTGCCTATTCAGTGTCCAACTTTCACATCCATGTGAGGGAACTGAAAAGACCATGGCCCGAGTCAGCCACACCTCAGTCCTCAGAGCAGCCTTCTTGTTTTTCAACCCTTTAATGAGGTCTTGTGCAGCAGATTTACCCAATACATTTTGTCATTTGATCTCTTGACTGCTGCTTCCATGAGCATCGATGGGGAATCCAAGCAAGATAAAAATCCCTGACAACTTCAATCTTTTCTCCATTTATCATGATGTTACCTATTGGTTCAGTTGTGAGAATTTTGGTTTTCTTTACCTTGATCTGTACCGAAGGCCACAATCCTTGATCTTCATCAGCAACTGTTTCGAGTTCTCCTCACCTTAGCACACAAGCTGTGTCATGTTCACAGCAAACATCATTCATAAGCCTTCTGCTGATCCTGATGCCCCATTCTTCTTCGGATGGCCCAGCTGCTCTGATGATTTGCTCAGCATACAGACTGAATAAGTCTGGTGAGAGGATACAACTGACACATACCTTTCCTGATTTTAAACCATGTACTATCATCCCCTTGTGCTGTTTGAGCCACTGCCAATCAGTCACCAAGTGATGATGTTCTGGCTCCTTGATTTCTATCTTCTTCTCTCTCCAGAGAGAGAGCTTGCCATTTTCTTCCAGATTATTAAAAAGACTTCCTGCCTGTGAGATCTCTTCCATATTGTCATAGCTTCACCAATCACTTTTCTACAGGCTGCTAAGTCATCTCAACTTGTCACTCGCCTGCCGAGGACTTCATGTGCCAAAGTCACAGGGACTCTTTAGGTTGAAGTTCAGGGTAAAAAACTTTCCAGCAATCCTTCTAACAGGTCGCTAGATTAGGGACAAAGGGGGGTTGTCTTCGCTAATGCCTGTGCTAAAGGAAAATTAGCTATCCATGCCATAATAAAGTGGTTGGAAAGGAATCAGGCACACTAATTAGACACCTATGGGAAAATCCAGAACTGAGAATGCTCAGACTCAAGTCACCTAGACCCAGGTGGAAGGTACAATACTAGGCACCAGCAGGACATCACACAGGTGGGCTTAAACTCAGCCAATAAGATCTGCCAATACCTTCAAACCCCCCCCCCCGCCCCCACCCAGCCAGTGGGGACAGAAGGGGATAAACAACAGGCTGGGGCAGGGCTCTTTCTTCCTTTGGTCAGGTATGCTTTTGCAAGTTGGAGGGCAGGGGTGCACAAGGTGCCACAGGGCCCTGAGGCCTGAGCTTCCTATCAGGCCTCCCTTGACCTCTGGGGATTTCCTGCTCTTAGTTCCACACACCTGGTTTCTAGCTCCTGCTCCAGGACAGTGCTTCTTTCAGGTGGCTTTTCACACTCTCCTGAAGTGGCTACCTGCAGTTGTAAGCTACCGTGTAGTCTCTGCATAGCCTTGTATGCTTTGCAGAAATCGCGTGTACTTTTTGGAAACTGTAATCCTGAAACTTAACTTTCCCTCCTAAAAGTTTGTAATACCTGAAACCTTCTTTTCCCTCCTAAAACTCGGATTTACAAAAGTGCTTCTGCCACAGGAATTCGTTCAGCATTGCCAAGCAAGAACTGAGGTATAATGCTCCAGAAACCTAACACCTCTATTTTTCATCTCTATTTTTTTTAAATAAATGAATTTTTTTAATTGTGAACTGGCACCTGCTTTCTCGTCATTTCTCTCTCTCTCTCTCTCTCTCTCTCTCTCTCTCTCTCTCAGCTCTATTGACCCAGTGCCCTGAGAGCTCCCGCTCAGTCAACTCTGCCACAGGAGCAGAGCGCTTCGTAGACTGCTGGGATTCCACCCTGCTGTTGGCGTGGGTCTCCAGGAGCCCTGGAGGGCCACAGTTGAAACCACCAGGTGATCCGTGTGAGAAAGACAGGACTTTCTACTTTCCCAAAGAATTACAGCCTTAGAAAAACCCATAGGGACATTTCTACCGTCTTCTGTGGGGTTGTTATGGTCAGCGTGGACTTTCAACTTTGGTCTACGCACCACCTACCACACAAAGGGTGTGTGTATTTCAAGACTCATCGCCACCCAAAACAGCCCCTTTGCCCATCGCTGCATAGCCCTGCCGAATGGCTCCTTCAACCCAGTGGACTTCCTTCCCGGCCCGTATCGCCGGGAACAAACAAAACAACAACAAATAATATAGACTCTGGCTCTCGGTAGCTCCAGGAGCTGATGCCTTTCAGAGCAGAACCCTGCGCTCCACAGGGATTGTGAAGGGCTACCTTTTAGGCAGTCGATCACCAGGACACTGCACGGGCTCTGACTTTCAACCTTGAAGTTAGCTGAGCCCTGCAGCAGTGCACCCCACCCAGGGACTCCACCAAGTCACACATACTGCAATTGTCTTTGGCTTTTTGTCCACTTCCTCCCCTACCTTATCAGCTCCCTGGGAGCAGGGGCGGGAAGAAGTCTTTGTAATCAAGTGCCTATTGAAATGTCTAAACTTGGAAAGTCTGTCATTTAATCAGTTCTGACTGAAAACATTCTGACCCTATAAAACAACACCCATGGCAAAGGGGACTCATCGTGACCCTGTCAGACAGGGTAGAACTGCCCGGTGGGTTTCTGAGGCTGTCACTCCTTCTGGGGGAAGAGAGCCTCATTGCTCTCCCTGGGAGCAGCTGCTGGGTTCCTCTGGGACCCTGTGGTGAACAGCCCAGCACGTAACCAGAACCTCCACTCCACCAGAGCTACTCCATAGTTTCCAAGCGATAGCTAAATCCTTACTGTGACTGCAATGAGTAAAGGTAGCAGGAGCGGTCAGAAGCGCTCTCACTCATTAAATAGAAACTTGTACATAATAGAGTTGGTGGGTAAAATAACTTGGGTCTCTCTAGCTTGCCTTCTGTCTGCTATAATTTGCATATGTAGATTTCTAAGGCAGCTGATCTTACTTTCCTGGACTGTAAACCAATTGTTATTTTAGTCTTCCTGGTTATTCTCAAAGCTCGCCCTGAGGCAGGAAGGATGGCCTCCTTTCAGGAAAGACTGCCTTTCAGGAGGTGAGTGCAAGGCCAGTTAGAGAAGGAAGATGCATCCAGAAGACCAATTAGGAGGGTGTTTAAACAGCCCCTGCAGGAGAGACTGAGGCTCTGGCCCAACACCAGGCCATCTGAGGGTGAGGAGGTGGCAGGGGGATCACAGAAGTGAAAGACACTAGTCTTTCCACATCAGGATGTCAGAGAGGACTCTGCACTACCTGAAGATAGCCATGTTACTGAAATAAAACGAATCTTATATTTTGGTGCAAGATAATAACTGGGCCAGTAGAGATCTATGTCTCAATCAAGTCAGGGTGTGATGTAGCAACGATGAAACATACAACTTTCCTCTAGTTTAAGGTGACCAGACGTCCTGCTTTGGGTGGGACAGTCCCAATTTTTAACAAATTTTCCCATGTTCCGCGGCGTTTTTAAAAAGTCCTGATTTTTGTAAAGAATGCATGACAAGCTAGGGTATATGGTTTTCGGCTGCCATGTGGCTGTTTCGCCAGGATATGAGTTTTATCAATGGTGTCCCACAGCTGTCCCGCTTTACCAATGTTAAAATCTGATCACTCTTACTTCCTAAATGCTTATTCCCCCCTCCCACCTACTATCATGATCCCAATTCCACCTTACAAATCTGGCTAGACCAGAGGATGTACACTGGTACAGACAGGAACTGGAAACACAGGGAATCCAGGGCAGATGAACCCTTCAGGACCAGTGGTGTGAGTGGTGATACTGGGAGGGTGGAGGGAGGGTGGGTTGGAAAGCGGGAAACGATTACAGGGATCTACATGTGACCTCCTCCCTGGGGACGGACAACAGAAAAGTGGGTAAAGGGAGACATCGGACAAGGCAAGATATGACAAAATAATAATTTATAAATTATCAAGGGTTCATGAGGGAGGGGGGAGCGGGGAGGGAGCGGTAAAAATGAGGAGCTGATACCAGGGGCTTAGGTGGAGAGCAAATGTTTTGAGAATGATGAGGGCAATGAATGTACAAATGTGCTTTACCCAACTGATGTATGTATGGATTGCGATAAGAGTTGTATGAGCCCCTAATAAAATGATTTTAAATATATATATCTAGAAAAAAAATTATAAAGCGATGAAATCATTTCCTGGACCATATGACTGGGACCAAAAAAAAAAAAGGAACACTTTTGTCTAGTGGCTTGAGAGGAAATGAAGTCATGTCAGATTCATCGCTTGTCCCAGTTGACTTCCACCTCCTGGGGGGAGGCCATGTAAGCGAGACCTGGGCAGATGCCAGGCAGGAGGCATCAGGGCACTGTTTACCCAGCACCTGCTTGTGCTAGCCAATGTGCGGGCTGTTTGCCTGTGTTACAATTCTCAGACATCCTTGTAATAGTGCAACAGCACTGTGATCGACACCCCCACTGTGCAGATCCCACAAGTGAGTGGAGACAGGCAAAGAGTTCCTGCTCCAAACAACACAGCTTCAAAAGCAGAACTTAGTTTTCCAAGTTTGAATCCATCATCTTTCCACACTGGGCTACCTCGCTTCATGGGGCAAGATTTTCCCCATCACCCCCTGCAAACAATTGCTTCAAAGCCCTTGCACGCACACACACACACACACACACACACACACACACACACACAAAACAGTTCCATAGAGCTGATTGTTTTGGTCTGAAGGGGAGAGGCACTTGGAGGAGATGAAATATTTATGAGTCACACAATCTTAGGAAAACTCACAGGGAGCTACTTCCTACAGACGCTGGGACAATGCTTCCTGTTTACCTTAATCTTCCTTTGGTTGACACCACGGCCCGCTCACTTGTTCGTCAGTCTAACCACTTACCAGACTGCCTTCATAGCTACTGCTGAACAGCTGAAAGCTCCCAGTTACCTGATGTGAAATGTATTGTTCCCGAAGCTGGCTTGCAGAATTCCAGGCAATATTTCCATGTACCAGTTCTTTAGCTTTCTCAATCCACTTCAGAATGGGTCCAGGCAGTTCGTTGTATTCTTCTAAATGAGATGCTGCCTGAAATATAGTAACATTTGGATAACAGATGTCAATTTGAGTTTCCTGAGCCATAAACCAGTCTTCTACATGCCTCTGTTGATTCTAGGGGTGAATCACAATAATGCCGGTGAGATGTAAAGAGAGCATGAAAGCCAATTTCCCTGTTAAAAATTGACTTTCTGATGAATTCCAGGGAAATGCTTGAATGTTCTCTTTCTTAGGTTTCCATCTCAACTCTTGTCTAGTGAGCTCCTCTTCCCACCCCAACACTCAGGGTACAGCCAGTGGGTAGGGGGGCCCTCATCACCATCAAGCTGGTGCTGATTCATGGAGACCCTCAAGGGCAGAGGGGAACTGCCCCCAAGACTGAAGCTCTTGGCAGTAGAAAGCCTCGTCTTTCTCCCAGGGTGGGGTACAGGTAGCAGCGGCAAGAGAGCATGCCAGGTTATTCATTGGTTACCCCCTTTGTGTTTAACTTTGCAAACATCTGTTCTTTGCCCAACAACTTTGATAGTTGGCGAACTAGAATCTCCTAAATTGATGAAAGTGAATTTTTTGTCTATCTTAGTTTAAGGTGCTTGAATTCACCCCAAACTGATCGGAATAAAACTTATGGAGCATGCTTGATGGACACTTTGATTCTTTTCCAAACCACACCTTGTACCTCTCCAGGTTATAAAACATTCCGCCCAGAAGGCATTTAGATCACCATCTTTGTCAGTGGACTTATAACATGCTTTGGTGGAAATGAATGCAGGTTTAAGAGTAAGTCTTAGGAAGCCTAGGTATGGGACACAGTAAGCTATACCTCCCTGACTCTCCTCCCTGTCAATGTAATCTTTGGGGCTTTTGTTTTGTTTTTTTCCAGAAAGGACCAGGTAACATGAAAGCTTTCGCTTTGAAGGAGTTCAGCAACAGGCGCAGAGCACGTACCTGATTGAGCCTGGAGAGCCGGTGCTCAGCCTGCCGGATGCTCTGCTGGTGGAGCTCGCTCAGTTTCCCAAGCTTCTTGACCAGAGGCTTGCCCAGTTGGCCATTCTCTTCAGAGAACTTCTGGACGGCTGCATCCAGCGCCATTAACTCCACGTGACAGCCATCGAGTTCTTCCCCCAGCACCTAGATGGGCAGCATTATTTTGCACAAAGCATTGTTTCTCTAGATGTTCCAAGATGAGAAGGATTAATAGTGCGACCCGGCCACGGCTGCGCTGTGAGCAGGACAGAGGGTGTTGTAATCCTGATGGTTATTTCCTGTCAGGCTGACTAAGAGGTTAACATTTTGCCTCAGCCGCACCCAGAAAGGATTAGAATCACCGAACCCTCAGAAGAGGGAGAGCACAGATTAACTGCTGACAACAGAAGTCTCTTCGGAATGCACAGACTCGTGTTCCTAAATTAGGATGTCTGATGGTGAAGTGGAGAACCCTGGCGGTTTGTCACCTTCTTGAAAACCCACAGGGGCACTTGGCCCCTGTCCTAGAGGGTTACTGTGCATCAGACTTACCCCATGGCAGTGAGGATTTTTGGGGTGGTGCAAAAAGGACCCCTGGTGGTGGAGTGGGTTATGGTAACCAGAGCTCGGACCCACTAGCTGCTCTGAGGAAAGACGAGGCTCATGTACTACAGAGCGAAACATTGCCCGGACCTGTTCCATCCTCGGAATTGTTATGTCGGAACTCATTGTTGCACCCCCTTTGTGACTCCCTCTCGTTCCGACTCGGAGTGACCCCAAAATGAGCTTTTTGAGGCTGTCAATCTTCTTCAAAGAGACTACTGAGTTTGAACAGCCCGTCTTGCTGGGAGCTGCCCTGTACAACAACGACAGGAGCCCTGGTGACCTGTGGGTTCAGCTTGGGCTGCTAACCGAAAGGTTGGCAGTTTGAAAGGACCATTTGCCACTAGAAAGAAAGAAGAGGCTTTCCACTCCCGTGAGGAGTTAGTCTCAGTTCTACCCGGCCGTATAGAGTGTCCTGCATGGTTGCTATCTATGAGTTGGCATCCACTCACTGGCAGGGAGAGGGCAGCTGAGTCAGAATCAACTTGCCAGCACAAGACAACACAATCCCTCAATCCCTCTTAAGCACACATGCACATACATCTATTAAAATAGATCAGCTGTAAGAATAAATTATGCTCTGCAAACAGATAATAATATCACATTTATAAAATGTCTTCTCGGCCCGCTTTTACGTTCTGGTTTTCATGAAGCCTGAACCTGCAGAAAGCTGTCTTCTAAAGCTTCACATGAAAACAACCCTTTGAGACGTCGGACAGGGCAAGATATGACAAAATATTAATTTATAAATTATCAAGGGCTCATGAGGGAGGGGGTAGTGGGGAGAGAGGGGAAAAATGAGGAGCTGATACCAGGGGCTTACGTGGAGAGCAAATGTTTTGAGAATGATGAGGGCAATGAATGTACAAATGTGCTTTACACAATTAATGTATGCATGGATTGTGATAAGAGTTATATGAGCCCCTAATAAAATGACTTTAAAATAAAAAAGAAACCGACCCTTCGCCCACAGCAATAAATGTCCGTCATTCAGTAACACCCTGTATGTGGCCTCTTCTCCTTTCTTACCTTTTGCTCAGCTTTCGCTTGAACTAAATCAGCTGTCTTGGCATTCAACTTCGTCAGGGTGGTTGTGAGAACTCTGGCTAGCTTCTGGATGTTTCGGCTGAATTCCTGGCTCATGGCCTTGCTTTGCTCAACTTCTTTCACTTTGTCCTGGATCTAAACAAGCAGGACAGCAACACCACCCTCGGTTAAAACCAGTTGACAGACGCCTGAAACCTCAAATGATGGCAATGAGAGCGCCAGGGGTGAATGCTGCTTGGAAGAGCGCTGGTGGGTAAGCCTTCAAAGGGCGACTGGCTGAGAGGTTGTCGGGTGGATCCCTCCAACCTCTCCAAGGGAAATAGATGTGGTGGTCTGCTTGGAAACTGATGGAGCAATCCTCCCCTGTCCAATGGGGTCTCTAGGAGTCAGAATAACAAAGCACTTCAGCTCTGGCACCTATGAGCTCTGTCCAAAGGACCACCTGCAGCATTACCTCTCCCAGGTGTCCAAGCTGCATTCCCTTCGCCATCTGTACATGTCGCTTATACCCTTCCTGCTGCTATTTCCAAGGGAGCACAGTGGACCCCCAGAGGTTCTTATATTCATCAAACGTGCACAGAGCGCTCCTGACAGATGATGGCAATATCAATGGCTCAGGTTTGTATTCTGTTGTAACCTGCTTCTCAGACTTAATAGCACAAAGTCTTCCAAGGCTTTTCCCTAAATTGGGAAACCCAAGCAGAGGAGTGGAGTCACGGTCCCTTCACACTGGCCTAGCTTTGATTTGGTGTGGCTCCCACTCCTTTGGCCAGCAGACAGGATGGTGAGCCTCAAGAATGTCTCATCAACAGCATCGTGCCACCACGTAGGTTTACCTGATCGTGAATTGTCCCCAAGTCTAAGGCGACCTCAGCTAGCTGGAGGGACAGTTCAGAAGGTAACAGAGCAGAAAGCCCCAGGTACTTCTTCTTCTGGTCTTCAGCCATTTTCTCAACGCTCTGCCGGTGATTGGTGACTTCCGTTAAGAGAATCTGGGGGGAAAGGTTTAAAACGGCAAATTTCAGGAATCTGATAAAGAAGATAAGGAGTACAAATGCGATGCTATGTATTGATCATCAATATAAAGCCATATTTCCAAAAGTGGGTGGTATTGCTCCCTGGTATTGGGATGTGGGGGATGGGGGCATTTGGGATGATTCCAAGAAAGAAACCAAACGTAACTGCCAGGGAACCCATTCCTACTCTTTGTAACCCTCTAGGACAGAGTAGAACTGCCCCTGTGGGTTTCCCAGACTGTAAATCTCTCCAGGAGTAGAAAGCCTCATTGTTCTTCTGGGGTAGAGAGGTGGCGGGCTGGTGGAACCTGCAGTTAGCAGCTCAACTCATAACCCCCTCCAAAAAGACCCAACTCACGCCATCAAGTTCACGCTGACTCATGGCGCCCCTACAGGTCAGTGTAGAACTGTCCCTGTGGGTTTCTGAGACTGTCACTCTTCATGGGAGTAGAAAGCCCTGTCTTTCTCACACAGAGCGGCTGGTGGTTTAAGCTGCTGACCTAGCTGACTGTAGCCCAACCTAGATGGATCACGGGTTATAGTACAAACGTTTTTTCTTGTCAGCAGAATGCTGAGTAATATTTTTAAATTTTATTTATTTTCTGAATAGGGAGCTGTAGGCCAAACAAGTCTGGGAACCTGTGATCCAGAGTGTAGAATTCGAGAACATTTTAAAACAAAGCAATTCACTTTCGTCTCACATAAGGAGCCATGCATGGAAAGAAAATGTATTTTACATAAACTATTGCTGAAAGGTTTTTAGCTGGTCATTTTTGTGGCAAATAAACCAGGGTCTAAGAAAAACCAGGTTTGGGCTTTTCTGAAGGGGAGGGGGTAGGAGAGAGTGGGTACCTGGAGTTCTTTGAGGTGAGCATCTGTCTCCATTGTGGGGTTTCCCAAGTAGTCTTTCGTTTCCCGAACCCAAGTCTTCACAGAGTTGATCCGGGTCTCCACCTCTTCTCGCTCCTTCAGCTCCTGTTTCAGCAGCTTTCTGTTGCTCCTCACTTTCTCCTGCATGCTTCCCAGACAGGGACGGGAGAAAGCAGAAGTGAATTTGAAATCACAGCAACTTGCTTACTGCATGACACCAGATGACCCAACACAGGTATTCTCTCTCTTTTTTCACAAGTAAATAAAACCAAAACACCTGTGGAGAAGGTTCTGAATCATGCTGAGCCCAGATGTGATGGGGAAGCACTGCTCCACGTGGTTTTCCTCCGGGCTGGCATCTTTACGGAAGGGGGTCCTCTTTGGAAGGGGGCACTGTTCAGTAAGCAGTGAAATGCGACTTGCGAAGTTGGTGGCTTTGACCCGCTAACCACTCGGTGGGAGGGAGATGTGGCTGTCTGTTGCAGTTAAGATTTATAATCTTGATGAGGATTTGTTGGGAGTGGGTGGGAATCTTTATGGAACTGGATTGCCAGGCCTTTCCTCTGCGGCCCTGTCAGGTGGGTTTGAGCTGTCAAAATTTAGTTAGTAATCCGATGCAAACTGTTTGCACGACTCAGGCATCTTGTCATTAAGTGTATCACTCCCAAACTGTCTGATGATGCTGAGTGATACTTCAGTCCAGTTGAAGTATATCAAAAGGAGATACATCATATAAATGGGCATAATCTTTATTTACTGGAAAATTGAGAGGCACTTCCCCCAGATCACTAATTTGCAATTAACTTTTTTTATTTCAAGCATTTGAAGACTGATGGGTTAAAGTTCTTATTGTTTGGAAATATAATCAAATGGTACAACATGACCAGTATTTCAAAATAATTACGTAACTGAAATGCTTGCAGTTTTTGAACGATGTTTTTAAAGAACTCAGTTTTTAATGAAAGGCTTTTGCTTTTGAGCAGGAGACCTGGCGTCACAGTGGTGATATGTTGGGATCCTAACTGTAACAACAGTTCGAAATCACCAGCGACTCCACAGGAAAAAGATGAGGCTTTCTACTCCCATAGACTTGCAGTCTCAAAATCCAGAAGGGGTAGATCTACCCTTTTATTATTTTTATTTTTTGTATTTTCCTTTTTGGCTATGACCTAGAATCAACTCAACAACAGTGAGTTTGGTTTCATTATGCTTTAAGATTTACAATGAAAACTACTACAACATATTCCACATGTTTATATGCAAGAATGTGAACTCAGCATAGAGGTTTAAATAAGTGCGGAGTGGCACTACCTGGAGAATGTTTGTATTCTAAAGAGAGGGTTGCAACAACATGTGAGGCGCTGTTGAGTCAGCTTTGACTCACAGTTATTCGACTGCAGAAATAAACACTATCCAGTCCACAGACTGTTTGCTCTGGGTGCAGACTGTGAAAGTATGGTAATAGGATACAGCCTTGACACACACCCCTTGCTCTGTTAGAACAACTGCCTCTTGATTTATGCCATGTTCCACAGGAGCCCAATTATGAGCTTGGGAGTTGACATTTTTCAGCACCATTCATAATTTGTTCTGGCTCCAGCAGCTGAATGCCTTTGCATAATCAATACAACATAGGTAAACATCTTTCTGGTATTCTCTGCTTTCAGCTAAGATTCATCTGGCATCAACCATGACACCCCTCTTTCCCCCTTGTGTTCTGAAGCTCATTTCATTTTCTGGAAGTTTCCAGTTGGTGTAATGCAGCAGTGAGATCACCTTCCTTTCAACAGGCAACTATGTGGGTCTCTGCCAATTGGGTGGTCTGATAACTGTCTTTCATGCCAGTGTCTTGGCATAGGTGACTGGATACCTCACGTACTACAACCATCTTTGGAAACATCTCATTTGGTATTCTGTCCATTCCCGGAGGCTTATTTTGCATCGAAATCTTCAGAGTAACTTGGCACTTATTCCTTCAGTATCATGCTCAATCATATGCTACCTTCTGAAATGGCCAAACATTGACCAACCTGCTTTAGTACAGCGACTCTCGCATATTCTTCCCACCTTCTTCTGATGATTCCTGTGTCATTCTATTTTAGCTCATAGACTCCTTTGATCCTGTAAGGGAAGTCTGGAACATTTCTCTGAAATTTTTTTTTTTTTATATCAGAAAACGCTGATAAGATTCTTCTCTTTCAGCTTCTTAAATACAGATTTCAATATACCCCAAGTCCAAACCCAACTGCTGTCCAGTTGGCCTTGACCCATAGTGGCCACATTGGTCAGAGTAGAATTGTCCCATAAGGTTCTTAAGGCTGTAATCTGTGAGGCACAATGTGATATCTTTCCTTTTGAAGAGACTTCTGGGTTTGAACCACAGACCTTTCCGTTGTTGAGGAGCGCTCCTGCCTCACTAGAACTCCTTACATCTCATTATGATGCCTTATTATCTCTAGCCACCCTTTAGAAATATTCTTTTAAGCTCTTTTATTTCATCATGTGTCCCTTTACATTTTCAGTTTAATTATCTCTCTGACATCCTTTTTTTAACTTTGTTTTTAATGACTTTTCGAACATATGATGTTCTTGCTATCACCCACAACTTATTTAGTCTTGATCATCAGCATTCAATGTATGAAATCTACTTTTGAGACCATTTCTAAATTCAGGTAGGATACATTCAAGACCGTGCTTTGGCTCTCACGGACTTGTTTTCACATTCTTCAGCTTCTGCTAGAATTTTCATGAGAGTAGTTGATGGGTCATCTGTTTTGCTGTTGGCCCTCAGCCTTGTTCTGACAGATAAAATTAAGCTTCTCCATTGGCTCTTTCCACATATGCAGTCTAGTTGAATTTTATGTACCCCACACATCAAAATCCATATGTATAGTCTCCACGATAGTTAGGTTTATTGTGCAAACTAGGCTCCCATAGGAACATGTAGGCAGAGTTTAATCAAGTTGCAGCTTGATTGGGGGAAGACAGAGATAAATGGTTTTCCAAGGCTAGTCTCCTTCTCTCTTTCACCCCAGTGATCGGCCCATTGTGTTGCTGCCTGAGCTAGTCCTTTGACTCAACTGTGTGCTGCACTACTGTGGGCCGAGCCAACCCATGGATTGTGTTGCCTTGCCATTCATCACTAGAGCTTGAGGCTCCATCAGGACCTGCTTCACTTTGCTTCCATACTACTGGCCTCTGCTACACCTCAATTTCTCATCGTTCTGCTGTTGCCACCCTCTCCTCTTACCATGTCTGCTGCCTGCTGGCCAACTCTGCTCATCTTGCCTGAGGGCAGACTCACTCTCTGCTTCCTTGACCTTGGCCTAGCAGCTGGCAAGAGCTGAAGCACCTTCAGTATATTAACTGTTTAAAGAAAGTGAGCTGAACTGAGCCGTTGGTACTGCTGTGTGGACTAATGAGCTGTTATACTCCTTCTCAGTATATTAACCTATCCTTTTATGTATATAATCATAAGTGTCCTAGTTTTGTTGCTCTAGAGAGCCCTGCCTAACACAGTCTCTGTTTCATTATTGAAAAAAAAAAGGAATTCCAGTTAATACGGCCCCTGGTTTTGCAGAATTTTTTTCATGTGATCTTCATCATTTCTATCACTAAGGTCCTATTTTTGAGCTGCGTACCCTTCTTTTTCGTTCCCAACTTTTGTATTCTAATAACTGATAATTATCAATTGACTTGACTTTAGGCTTGGCTACTTTCAGACTTTGATTTTTTTTTTAAATCTTCAATTTCTTCTTCTTTAGTAGTTATTGATGTGTAGGTATGCATAATAGTTGTATGAACTGGTCTTTCATGTGGGTAAATGGGTATTTTTGTATCCATTTCTATTTCTATTTTGACAGCACTCTATTTCAACATAAATCTTCAACTGTTCTTTTGGATGATGAATGCCGTGCCAGTTCACTTCAATCTGTTTGAATCTGGAGCTCCACTAAAGCCTGTCCACCATGGGTTACCCGGTTGTATTTGAAGTTCCAGTGGGATAACTTATAGCATCACAGCCACAGGCAGGCCACCACAGCGTAACAAGTTGACAGAGGAGAAGTGGAAATATTTGGGAATATTAGTGAACTGTTGCTTTAGTTGTTCAGCACCATTTGGTTATTATCAGCTGCCATGGAATCAGTTCCCACGCCTCGCGACACTACGTACAACAGAACAAAGTACAAATCAGTTCTGCATCATCCTCACAATCATCGTCCCAAGTTTGACTCCTGGTTGCAGCCAATGTCAATCCATCTTCTCAAGGGTCTTTCTCTTTTCTCACAGCCCCTCTATTTACAATGCATGATGTCCTTATCCAGGATTGGTCTTTCCCAATAACAAGTTCAATGTGCCTGAAACAGTCTCACCATTCTTGCATCTACAAAGCAGTCTGGTTATACTTCTTCCAAGGCAGATTTATTTGTTCTTTTGGCAGTCCATGATACTTTCAAGATTCTTTGGCAGCACCTTAAGTTGAGTGCATCCATTCTCTTTTAGTCTTCCTTATTCGATGTCCAACTTTCATACAGATCTGAGGTGACTGAAAAACTGTGCTTGGGTCAGGCATGCCCAAGTCCTCTAACACCCTTGCACTACAAGAGTCTGAAGAAGTCTTGTATGGCAGATTTGCCCAGTGCATTTTGCCATCTTTTGAATTCTTGACAGCTCTTTTCATGAGAATTGATTGTGGAGACAAGCAAGATAAAATCCTTGAAAACCTCAATCTTTTCTCTATTTATTATGAGGTTATCTATTAGCAAAACCTCAATCTTTTCTCTATTTATTATGAGGTTATCTATAAAGAAATTTTATTTCGTTACATTGAATTGCACTCCATTGTGAAGGACGGAGTGCTTGATCTTCAACAGGGAGGCGTTCAGGGCCTCCTCACTTTCAGCAAGCATCTGCACAGAGAAGGTTGTTAATCAGTCTGCCTCCAATCCGGATGCCACATTTTTCTCCATCTAAACCAGCTTCTCTGATGATATATCTGCTCAGCATAAATAAGTATGACTAAGGGCTACAACCCTGAAATACAACTTTCTTGATTTTAAACCATACCACGAACAAAAGCTAAACTCAGTGCCATTGAGTAGACACTGCATTCCCTTTTTCCGTTCACACAACGGCTTCGTGGCCCATTTACAGCTTCTGCACGAGCACAATGAAGCATTCTGGAATTCCCATTCTCCTCAATGCTATCCAAACTCGGTTATGATCCACACAGTCAAATGCATTTTCATAGTCAACAAAACACAAGTAAACATCTTTTTCAGTACACTCCAGTTTGAGCCACGATCTATCTGATTAGCAATAACGTTCCTAGTTCCGTGTCCTCTTCTGAATCTGGCTTCTTTCTGTCACCTCCCAGTTGACGTAATGCTGCAGTGGTTGTTGAATGATCTTGAGCAAACTTTTACTTGCATGTGATACTAATGTTATTGTTTTGTGAATTCCACATTCTGCTGCGTCTCCTTTCTTTGGAATGGGTACAAATATGGATCTCTTCTGGACCGTTGGCCAGGGAGCTGTCTTCCAATTTTTTTGGCAGAGATGAGTCAGAGCTTCCTGTCCTTCATAAACTTGCTAAGACATTTCAATTTGTATTCTGAAAATTCCTGGAGCCTTGTGTTTGGTTAACACTTTCATTGTAGCTTGGACTTCTTCCGTCAATGCCACTGGTTTGAAATGGTTGAATATGAACCAGATCTTTTTAGTGCAGTGACTGTGTGTCCCTTCCAACTTCTTTTGCGGCTTCTTGTGTCATTCAAATTTTTATTCATAGAATCATTCAGCATTGTAATATAAGATTTGTATTTTGTCTTCATTTTTTTTCAGCTTGATATATGCTGAGCATGTTCTTCCTTTTGGGTTTACTAACTCCACGTCTTGGCACGTTGCATGCATTCTAACACTTTACTTTGCCTTCTTGAGCTGCCCTTTGATAAATCCTTTTCAGCTCTTTTACTTCATCATCTCTTCCATTTGTTTTAGCTGCTCTATGATTGAGAGTAAGTAAGTTTTAGGGTCCCGTTCTGACGCCTACTTTGATCCTCTCTTTCTGTCCTTTCTCTTTAGTAACCCTTTGCTTTCTTCACGCATGACACTCTTGAGGCCATCTCAGAACTCTTCCTGTCTCCTGCCATTACTGCTCCGTGAGTCAAATCTGTTCTTGAGACGTACAAAAATTCACGTGAGATATACTCAAGTTTGCATTTTGACTCTGGTAGGCTTGTTTTCATTTTCTTCAGCTCTAGTCTGAATTTACAAATGAGCAATTGATGGTCTGTTCCACAGTCATCCCTGGGCATCGTTTTTGGTTGCTGATACTGAGGTTATCCACTGACTTTCTGAAAAGATGTAATCAATTTGATTTTTGTGTATTCCACCTAGAACAATCCATGTGTATAGCCACCAGTAATGTTATTTAAATAATGTATTCGTGATAAAGAAGTCATTGGTCTTGCAAAATTTTATCATGCACTTTCAAGCTTGGTGTCTGTCACCAAGGCCATATTTTCTAATGACTTTTCCTTCCTCTTTATTTCCAATTGCCAATACTTATCAATGCATCTTGATTGGATGCTTGATCAGTGTGAGACTGAAGACATTGATAGAATTCTTTAATTTCTTCATTCCTTTCTTTAGTGATTGGGGTATAAATTTGAAAATCGGTTGCTGTTGTAGTTAGGAATTATGTCAACTAGATATTCCTGATTAGGGGTGACGTCAAACCTGTCAATCAAGTTGCAGCTTGAAGATACCTCCTGGATGTCATAAGCCTTTTGTTATAGAAGCAAAACTAAGAGAGACAATCTCTCTCTGCCTCTCCACATTCCTGCCTGCCTCCACAGCCTCATTTGGACCACCTGATCCTGAGTGTTGTTGGTGCCCTGCCATGTGTCCATTAACCTTGGATCCATGGGATTCTGCACCCACTGGCCTATGATCTTCCTACTTCACTTTTTTTTGTGTCACCAACCTATAGCAGCATGAGTGTGAAGAGGAACTTATGGAGGAACACTGGACTATGAACTTGAGTTGAACTGGGCTGGGATGACCTGTTGATATATATTTACTTCTTGATATAAAGCTCTTTCTGATACTTAGAAGAGCGTCACTAGATTTGTTTCTCTAGACTACCTGGCCTACCACAGCTGTGTTGACTAGATTTCCTTTAATGTGCACAGATATTACCCTATCACAGACAGTGCTTTACTTCAAGATAGGTCCTGAAACCTTCTTTATGACAATGAACGTGACACCGTTTCTCTTGAATTTGCCATTCCTAGTGTTATAAATCATATGGTTGTCTCTGATTCAAAATGGCCAACACCAGTACATTTCAGCTCAGTTCTACCTGGGATATCAATACTTATGCATCACACTTCATTTTTGATGAGTTTCAATTTTGTTAGATTCACATTTCTTACATTCTATGTTTCAATTATTAATCGGTGTTTGGTGTTGCTTCTTCTCATTTTGCATTATACCACATTCGCAAGTAAAAGTCTATTAAGCTTACTTCATCTAGGTCTTTATGGTTGACTCTGCTTTAAGAGGCGGCTCTTCCTTAAGTCATATTGTGAGTGCCTTCTAGCCTGAGGGGCTCATCTTCTGGCACTATACTAGATGATTCATAAGAATCCTGTGGCTCATCAGTCAGCATTGGGCAGCCTATTTCTACTTCATAGGCTGTTCTTGGTCTGAAGTCCACTGAAATCTATTAACCTTGGGTGATCCTGTGACTCTGCTGGTATGTGAAATACTACTCATGACATAGCTTGCAGCATCACAGCAAGGACAGCGCAACAAATTGACACACAACTGGTGGATATATTTGTAAGTCTAGCTTTTCTTCCGACTAAGTTCTTTGCCCATTACAAGTTGCTGTCGAGTCAGTCTTTACTGACTGCAAGTTTCTGACTCCTGTGACCCCACGTATATCACAAGAAACTGCGTTCCATAGTGTTTGCATTGGCTGATTTGGCAACTGTAAATAAGCAGGTCTTTCTTCTGGGTAGACTCAAGCCTCCTACCTGTTGGGTAGCACCTAAGCAGTTGCTTAACCATTTGTACCACCTCCAGACTATGTCCTACCCCCAAAAAAAGCTCCTTCGTACTTAGATTTTGGCAGCATCCTTGCTCCTATCTCCAGCATGCCATGTAGTCAGGGAGTTACCAAAGTTCATTAAAACTGAACTCTAACTGGTTCTCAAAAGTTTACCTTTCTAACTCCATTTTCTTGAATCACCTCCCTCGGCTTCCCTAAGTCGACAGTTGTTTCAAGTGCTTTCTCCCTGTTTGGGACAGATCTATCCAGCCCACTATCTTGCTAAGACCTGTTCAGTCTTCAGCTTCAACCTCTCCTCTGAAGGGATCCCCTCCTTTATTCTTTACCAAGTTTAGTTACCTCTGATTTATAGTCCCTTGCCATATTTTTCTTTTTTTTTCTCCCCCTTTTTATTTTTATTTTATTTTATTTATTTATTTTTTAACATTTTATTGGGGGCTCATACAACTGTTATC